TGTTTTACAACAGGACTGACCTCGGGGTTAAGGGGAGACTGAGAAAAGAGGGGATAATGAATATTGCATTCAAACAGATGAGGGAGAGAACTGTTTAAAAGGAATATATGATTAGGTATTATTTTCATGACAAGAGTCTAGAATAAGAGCTGCATTGTAAAGTGTACTGGGAGGATAGAATAACAATGAATTTTTTTTCTTTTCAAAGAGAAAAGTAAACTGAGGGGAGGGGTAGGCATGAAGGAAAACACAACAATGAATGAATGGAAATCCAAAGTCTCTGTAAACATTCATTAAAAGTTCAATTATAAAAAAAGAATACTGAATAGGAATTTGAAAATTTAAAAAAATGGAATTTTGTCATGCTTTCCACTTTCTTCATGGATGCTGTCCTTGATCTCATCTCCCAACTCATCTGGTCTTCAGTCATTAGTGCATCAACTCTATTGTTGAGATGGTTTTTAATTAAGGTGGGATAAACTTCAGGTCGTGTTTTGGTTCTTGTATACTTGTTTTCATTTTATTCAGCTGCTGTTTGGACTTATCCATAAGTAACTGATGATCTGTTCCACAGATAACCCCTGGCCTTGTTTTCATTGCTGGTATTGGGCTTCTCCATCAACTCTTTCTACATATGTAGTTAATGCTTATTTAATAATCCATTACATAAGGTCCATGTGTATAGTTGCCATTTGCAATGAATAAATCATTTAATTGTACCAAAAGAAAAATATGTATTAGTCTGACATTAATGATATTGTGTGATAACACGTTTCCAAAAGTGAACTCAAAACACATCATAAAATTAAATCTAAGAATGCACACCCATGTTTATCGCAGCTTTGTTCACAATAGCAAGGAGTTGGAAACAACCTAAGGGCTCATCAACAAACGAATGGATAGAGAAGCTGTGGTATATTCACACAATGGAATACTATGCTGCATTGAAAAACAAGGAAGTCATGCAATATTATTATAAATGGGTGACTCTGGAGGACATTATGCTGAGTGAAGTATCTCAGTCACAAAAGGACAAATACTGCATGGTGTCACTCTTGTAAAACAGGACTAACCTGGGGGTTGGGGAGAAACTGAGAAAGATGGGTTCAATAATGTATACTGCATTGAAACAGATGAGGGAGAACACTGTTTAAAATGGATATGTGATTAGGTATTTTTTGTCATGACAGGAATCTAGAGTGAAGGCTACATGGTGGAGTGGGCCTGGGGGAGGGTTTGTAA